AGCTAAACTAACCATGCTCAACATCTTCTCTACACATACAGACGCCGCAGGCCTGGCGACCGTCCACTTACAGGTGGGTCAGAGGGACCGTGCTGCTGAAGCCCAGGGGCTGGTAGGGGGGCTGGGGGAGGCCGTAGTGAGCCACCCCTTCTGCAAAGTCACAGCCCTGCAGCCCATAGGCCACCATCATGTCATGGAAGTCGCTGAGCGGGTAAGAGTGCGGTTCAAGCTGCGTGCCGGTTTCCTTTGCCATTGGAGCAAATGCCGGAGCGGACTGCATGCTGTAGGCCAGGCTGCTGCAGAGAGAGAGACAGGAAGGCAGTTCAGAGAGAGACAGGAAGGCAGAGAAGGCTAGAGAACTTGTAAAACCACAAATCCCAGGATTCCACAGGGTGGTGTGACTGCTAAATGTCGTCAAGCTGCATTATTTGTCCAGTGTAGATGCACCTTTTGTAAAGCATCAAACCAGACTGCACTGGAGGGTCAGGGGTAGAGAGGATCCCAAAAAGCTGACATTCGCTCCCACCTGGGCTGCTTTTGACCTGCAAATTTCCTTCGACAGCCAAGGGGATGGACTAGATAAGCCTTGGGGGTCCTCTTCTAAGTGGGACCAGAACTGAGCTCAAGGCCAAGTGGCTTGGTGGGCAAGAGAGGTAAGGAATATTTTTCATTTATATCCCACCTTCTCCCCAACCACTGGAGTTAAAGTGGCTCATAAATTCTTTAAACCAGTAAAGATTTAAAACGTTAGTAAATACATACATGCACAGATTGGGGACTTGAATAAAGTCAATCCGTACAGTGGTCCCTCCACCTGTGAATGTGGGAAAACTGCAAATAAAAACTTCTCTAGGGATCTCCAGCTCCTCCTGTGCAACTCTATGATCAACTGCCAGACATTGACCATAGATTCATGCTGGAAGACTTATAAATGCCTAGAGAAGTATTTTCTCTAGGAATGTCTAAGTTCTCCAGCACAACTCTATGGTCAACTTCTGGCAGAGTTGCGCCAGAGGACTTAAGAGTTTCCTAGAGAAGGCATATTAATCAAAGCCGCAAATATGGGGGGCTATCTGTAGAGTTAACCAAGCTCTGGGAGGAGGGGCGGAAAGGAGGCATAGTTCCCCCCATCTCAAGGAGACATGCCCCCCCCCCACCAAATACGTGTGGGTCAGCATATGGGTCAGTCTATTCCAAAACCTGGATTTGATGCCTGCAAAAGGGTCAAATTGCTGGTAATTTGGAGAAGGAAGGGGGAGGCCAGACCACCCCTGGGTTTCATTGGAGCCCCCCCACCCCCTGCCCTACACCTGCAGGAAGAGAGGACTCCCAGGCCCCCATCCGCATGCATGCAGACACATGCCCCGGGGAGGCATTCCTCAGGCAGCCTGTTCTGCCGGTTTCTGGCCCACGGCCCCCAAACCTGTTTTGGCCTGCCCAGCCAGCCAGCCAACAGGTGTGCCAATGGGGCCTCCAATCCATTCTTTTCAGGGGGGAACCTGGGAACACAGAACACCCTGAATCCCAACTGGTGGGGTCCTCCCTCAGCCATCCAGGATCTGGTTTAATGGCATTCATCACCTAGCAATCCCCAAACCGGTGCGGCTTGACTTTGGAAAGGTGGGCTGTATTTTTTGGACCGCACTTTCCAGAATCCCAAAGAATTCCAGGGAGGAAAAAAAATCAGCACGTACTTTATAGACTTACTAAAGTGATTCCCAAACTTTGGTTCTCCAGGTATTTGGGACTTCTACTCCCAGAAGCCCCAGCCAGCTTGACCAGCGATCAGGAATTCTGGGAATTGAAGTCCAAAACATCTGGAAGATCAATGTTTGAGAATCACTGGCAAAGCATTTGACTGCCTGGATCACGAAAAGTCATGGAAGGCTCTTAAAGAGATGGGAGTGCCAATACATCTGATAGTCCTGATGAGGAATTGGGACTGAGGACCAGAGAAGATGGAGGGACCAAATGGTTCCCAATTGGCAAAGGGGTCAGGCTAGCCTGCATTCTATGTCTTCCAATTCTGTGCAGAAAATGCAATACAAAGTGTAGTGTTAGACTTAAAAGGAGGAGGAAGGAAGATTGGAGGAAGGAATATCAGCAACCTAAGATATGCGGATGATACCAAACCACTAGCAGAAAACAATTGCTAAAGAAAGTCAAAGAAGAAAGTGCAAAGGCAGGCTTAATGCTGAACATAAAGGAAAAATAAATAATGACTATGGAGGATTTACATAAACTCAACCTAGATAACAAGGAAATCAAAATAGTTAAAAAAGATTTTCCCTACCTTGGATCAGTCATTGATCAGAATGAAGACTGCAGTCTAGAAATCAGGAGAAGATTAGGAATGGGAAGGGCGGCCATAAAGGAATTGGAAAAAAGATCTTAAAGAGCAAAGAGATGCAACTGACCACAAAGGTTAGAATCATCCAAGCCATCATGTTTCTCATCCCCACAAATGAATGAAAAAGCTGGACAAATGTAGAAAGTGGACAAAAAGAAAAGTTGTGGTGCTGGAGAAGAGTGCTGACGATTCCCTGGATGGCCAAAAGGACAACAAACGGATCCTAAAACGGATCACATCTGGAATCTCCCTGGAAGCCAAGATGATCAAAATTGAGGCTGTCGTACTTTGGCCACGTCATGAGAAGGCATGAATCATTGGGAAAAGACAGTGATGCTAGGAAAGGCAGAAGGTAATAGAAAGAAAGGAAGACTGCAAGCTGCATGAATGGACTCAATGAGCGAGGCACAGGCCTGCATTTGCAAGACCTGAGCAGCGCAGTGGAGAACAGGAGGTCTTGGAGAGGTTTCATCCACAAGGTCTCCATGAGTCAGGGACAACTCAAAGGTAGTTAACAACAAACAATCATCGGGATGTCCTCCTAATGGAAGGAAGGGTCTGCAGAAACGTTCGTTCGGGGTGCCCTTGGGCAAGTCAGGTCTCTTGGTGCCTGAGGAAGGCAAGGGCAAACCTCCTCTGAAGAAATCTGGCCATGAAAATCCTAGGAGAGGCAGAATTGGGGTGTGGGACTAGGCCTCCGGGAGACCAGGGTTCGAATCCCTGCTCAGCCACCGAAACCCCGTGGGAGACCTCAGGCTCTCTCAAGGCGTAGACTTCCAGGGGTAGGCAACCTTTCCCCTTTAAGGGCCGAGGGACTTCAGCTTCCAGAAGCCTCAGCCATGTTGGCCTATAATAGTCCCATGTTGGTCCATAGCTCCTGGGATTCTGGGAGCTGAAGTCCCTCGGCCCTTAAAGGGGAAAGGTTGCCTACCCCTGGTCTAGATGCTCTTTGCAGTCCCTGCCAACTCTTAAGACTCTTGCATACTTGTTCTGCAACTGGTACAACGTAAGTTCTAGATTCAGAATCATAGACTTGTTGGAGGGGTCCCCAGGGGTCATCAAGCCCAACCCCGTGCTCAGTTCAGGGTCTCCAGCTAGAGCATCCCCAGAAGCTCTTTTGGGGGACAGCCAGAGAAAGAGACCCCACCACCGCTCTAGGCAACGGGCTCCACTGCTGGACTGCTCTTACCATTGAGACGTTCCTGCTAATGGTCAGTCGAAATCTACCCTTCTGAAACTTAAAACCACTAGACCTGATCCTATCTTCGGCCGCAGAGAACAAACCTGGCCCCCTTTCCTCTCTGTAGCAGCTCTAGGGGTATTTAAAGGGGGCAGCCATGCCTCCCCTCCATCTTCTCTTTGCCAAGCCCCTTCAACCTCCATAGCTGCATCTGCACTGCAGAAAATATTATTATTATTATTATTATTATTATTATTACTATTACTATTATTATTATTATTATTATTCCTTACCTGCCCCTCCCCATGGACTGAGGTGGGGAATAACAACAATCAACAGATGCACACCTCAGTTAAAATCAGTGTATCATCAATTTAAAAGGATATGCATATGATTTAAAAGGACAAGGTAGACACCTATTAAAGCAATCCGTATTTAAAATCCATCATTTAAAACTCACAATGTAAAAAACACCTGGGTAATGCATTTTGACACCACTTTAACTGCTATGCCTCGATGCTATGGACTCCTGGGATTTGTAGTCTGCTGTGGCACCAGAGCTCTCTTGACAGAGAAGGCTAAACATCTCACAAAACTACATACAAACCCCAGAATTGCATAGCATTGAGCCAGGGCAGTTAAAGTGGTGTCAAACTGCATTATTTCTGCAGTGCAGATGCAGCCTAGGCTTTGCTCTCCGTACCTCTCGTCATCATCGTTGCCCTTCTCTGAACCTGCTCCAGCTTGTCTCGATCCTTCTGAAAATGAGGCACCCAGAACCGAACTCAGGACTCCAGATGAGACCTGGCTAATACAGAATATAACAGGTCTATTACCTTCTTCAACTTGGAAACTACACTTCTATGAATGCAGGCTAAAGATTGCATTCGCCTTCTTTGCTGCAGCATCACACATGTTCATCTTAGAACCTGACAGCTCTTCTGCCTCCTCCCATGCTCTCCAAAGTCCCTTCCCATCCACTGGCACATGCCAACCTTGCCAACTTTTGGGGTCACGGGGGGTCATGACCCCGAGAGGGCAGTGTTCCTCTCCCCGCCTTGCGTGACTACACCTTTCTCCCAGGTGCAGACTTCCTCCTCCTCCTCCTCCTCTGGGAAAGCACCCAAAAAGCGGGCACCCCGGGGTGAGGACCGCACCCAGCGTGCCAGGCCACTCCGCCGCGCCCAGCCTGCCGGGGACGATGGAGGCAAGGAGGAACCAGGGCACCCGGCCAAAGGGCTGTGGAAGGAGAGAAAGTGATGATCCAAATCCCACGAAAGGGAGGCCAAGGTGGAAATCAAATGCAACGCCAAGGAATGACAACTCCCAGCATCCCCCAGCCAGCTCTGCTCCCTTTTCCAAGCTCTGATTAGGACTCAAATGCTCAATTGTTGTTATTGTTGTGTGCCTTCAAGTCATTTCTGACAGTGTTTTCTGGGGCTGAGAGTGTGTGACTCCCCCAAGGTCACACACTCGAGCGGGGATTTGAACCCAGATCTCCAGAGTCGTAATCCAACACTCAAACCACTAGTCCACGCTGGCTATAATAAAATGGGAGGAATGGTTTTGCCCAGGGACCCCGACTCCAGAACATTTGCAGGATTGGTGCAAGCCACCATGGCTGCATCCGCACTGCAGAAGTAATCTGGTTTGACACCGCTTTAACTGCCATTGCTCAAGGCTATGAGATTCTGGGATCTGTAGTTTTGTGAGACCTTTAGCCTTCTCTGCTGAGTGAGCTCTGGTGCCACAACAAACTACAAATCCCAGAAATCCACAGCATGGAGCTATGGCAGTTAAAGCAGTGTTAAACCGGATTATTTTTGCAGTGTGGACGCATCCCAGCTCACCCTGTACACCGGCAACCAAGTCTCCTGACCCAATTTGGGAAAGAGATCTCCCTGGGCATTGAAATCCAGACGACAGCAGGGAACCCAGGCATGCGGTGGGTGGATTCTGGGTTTTGCAATCCAAGCTGACCTTTCAAGCCAGTTGGACCCCAATGAACTCCTCCAAATGCCCAAAGGGACGTTCAGTCCTCTTCAGTAGGAACTCTAAGTCCCATTGCAGCCCCATGGGTGAGATGGCGCCTTGCACCGATCCTGCAGATGTTCTGGATACGGGGTCCCTGGCAAAACCATTCCTCCCATTTTATTATAGCCAGCGTGGATGAGTGGTTTGAGTGTTGGACGACAACTCTGGAGACCTGGGTTCGAATCCTCGCTCCAGAAACCTCCAGAATTCCAGAAACTTGCAGAATTCCCCCAGGAGTTCCCAAAATCGGTGGGGAAGGTGAGCTGTTTTAACTTTTCCAGCCCTCCCTTCCAGGGATCATAGAATCATAGAGTTGGAAGGGACCTCCAAGGGTCATCCAGTCCAACCCCCTGCTATGCAGGAACTCCCAATCAAAGCATCCCCATTGACAGATGGCCATCCAGCCTCTGCTTAAAGACCTCCAGTTCATGCAGTTTATATATGGGATTCCTTCCAAGAAATGCAAATTAATATTAATAATAATAATAATAATCACATTGCAATATGCAAATGCATCCTTGTGGATTTGGGAGAAGGAGAGAATTGATGGAAAACAAGCACTGGAAAGATCCATTTTTAAAACAGATGGCACCTCCTCTCCTCTACCCAGGAAAACTACAAAAACAAACACCTAGCAGCTGAGGAAAAGCTCGCAACTCCCAGCATCCACAAACAAGTGCAAGGTAGGAAATGTTTCTTGAGGTGGATTACACCTCCCAGAATCCCCAGCTAGCATTGGTTGGGAAGAGATACATTACTAGGAAATCCAACCAGGTCTGAACCTTGGGTGCTGGGGGTACTTTGAGGGGACTATACCTCCCAGAATCCCCAGAAAGTGGGGAGAGATACAGTTCTAGGAATCCAACCGGGTCTGAATCTTGGCGGCTGGGGAAGTCCCCTTTTAGGGGGACTACATCTCCCATCAGAGTATGATGAAACACAGAATGGTTCCCAATCTGCAAAGGGGTCAAGCAATGTTGCATTTTATCAGGCTTTTTATTCAACTTTAATGCAGAAAATATAAAATAGGAAAAGCAGAAGCAGGAGGAGGAGTGAAGATTGGAGGAAGGAAGGAATATAAATAAAGAAAATAAAAATAAAGTCTATGGGGAAATTTACACAAATAGAGGAAACAGAAATAATAAAAGAGTTCCCATACCTTGATTCAAATATAGATCAGAACCGAGACTGCGGTCAAGAAATCGGAAGAAGGCTAGGAATGGGAAGAAGGGCAGCCGTGAAAGAACTGGAAAAGATATACAAGCAAGCACCGAAGTTAGAATCGCCTAAGCCACTGTATTGCCCATCATCCCCATGTCTAGATGCAAGAGCTGGAGAGCGAAGAAAGCGGATAAAAAGAAAACCCATTCGTTGGAGATGGAGAAGAGAGTGCTGAGGATATCTATCTATACCTTGGAGGGACAAAAGGTCAAGCCAATGGTCCTGGAGAAAGGAGACCAAGCCCGAAATGCCCCTAAGAAGGCGGTCAAGGTTTGGTCCTATAACAAAAGAGGAGAGAAAGGGGTCCTGGAGAAAGAAGGTCAAGCCTGGACTCTCCTGAGAAGCTGGAGGATCGGAGGTGAGAACACACTCCCTTGGAGTCTCCTCCTTTGGACGGCCATTTCTTGGGGGGTGCTTTGATTGTGAGTTCCTGCATGGCAGAATGGGGTTGGACTGGATGGCCCTTGGGGTCCCTTCCAACTCTAGGATTCTGTGACTAAATGGAGGCTGTCGCACTTTGGGCACATCGTGAGAAGGCCTGAATCGTGGGAAAAGACCATGATGCTCGGAAAGGTAGAAGGTGACAGAAAGAGAGGAGGAGTGCAAGCAAGATGGATGGATGGACACAAGTTTGGGAGCACATGGGTCTGGATTTGCAAGACCTGAGCAGAGCAGTGGAGGATAGGAGGTCTTGGAGATGCTTCCCCCATGAGTCCGGACACTGGAGGGCAGCTAACAACAACAACTACAACAACACTACTGCACCTCCCAGAATCCCCAGCTAGCAGCAGAGTCATTGTTCCCTGCCTTGATGCATGGCAAGAGGCAGGGAACAAATAAAAATGATGATGATGATGATGATGATGGGTCTGAGCTCTGGGAGCCAGGGGATTACACCACCCACAATCCCCAGAGAGAGGGGGGAAAGAGAGTTGCAAGACTCCAACTGGGTGTGAACACCTTAGTGATTGGGGAGCACTACACCTCCTATCATCCCCAGAGAGTGGGCAGGGAGAGAGAGTTGCAGAACCAGGCCAAAACTCTGGGAGTTAGGGGGTTCCTTTTGGGGGCACTGCACCTCCTATCATCCCCAGAGAGGGGGCAGAGATAGAGAGAGAGATTGTTCCGGAACCGGGTCTAAACTCTGGACGCTAGGCAGACCCTTTCTGGGCGACTACACCTTCCATCATCCTCAGAGTGGGGAGAGACAAGAGTTCCTTTTGGGGAGATTACACCTCCCAGAATCCTCAGAGAATGGGAAATGAGAGAGAGTGCCAGGGAGTCCCTTTCTGGGTGACTATACCTCCCATCATCCCCAAAAAGTAGAGAACAAGAGATTCCAGGGGGTCTGAATCTTGGGGGCAGAGTGGGGTCCCTTTCGGTGGGCTCACTGCACCTCCCATCATCCCCCCACCACCCGATTTCTCCCCGGAGCAGAGCCTACCTGTGGGCCAGGCCGGGGGTCCCAGTCCCACCGGGGGATTCTGGGAGCGGCAGTGGGCCCTGAGTGCGAGCCTTCCCCTTCCTGCGGGGCCGGTACTTGTAGTCGGGGTGCTCGCGGAGGTGGCGGGCGCGGAGCCTCTTGGCCTCGTCGAGGAAGGGCCGCTTCTGGGGCTCCGGCAGCGCCTTCCAGGCGGCCCCCAAGCGCTTGGAGATCTCCGAGTTGTGCATCTGGGGGAAGGCCTGCGCCATGCGGCGGCGCTCCCCGCTCGACCAGACCATGAAGGCGTTCATCGGGCGCTTCACCTTCTCTCCGGGGGAGGGCCAGGAAGGAGGGGCCGCCTCAGACGTCATCCTTGGCCGGGCGGGTCAGGCTGGAGGACCTCCAGGTACCCCTCAGCGCAGCAGCAGGCGCAGAAGTGGCAGCGACTACGCAGAGAGGGAGATATAGAGCCTCTGGGCCACGCCCCCTCCTCCTCTCCTCCTGTGAGCTTCCACCGGCTAGCCTCGGCCACGCCCCTCGCCCCTCGGCCACGCCCCCTCCCGAAGATGAGTGACGCCTGCTTTGGAAGCAGCACCTGGAAAGGAGGGAGGGAGGGAGCGTACTGGAGCCAGACGCGTGGCGCTCCGGCGCAAAAGGCCAATGCGATCCATTTTAAGGGTCACTTTTTTATATTGTACAGTGCTTTTTCTGGATTGTTAATCCCAATTTTGGGCCAATTTTGTACGTCTTTGTACTTTTTAAAGACTTTTAATCCGCTTTCAGTCCAACTTTGGATCACTTTTGTACATTTTTTTTAAAAATTGTACTGATTTTTAAGTCACTTTGAGTCCCAATTTTTTGGGGGGAAAGCAGTGTACATGTTTTTGCTGTCTGCATTAGTGTTTTTTTTTTTGTTTTTGTTTTTTTTAACTTATGGCAACTCTAAGGCCATGAACCTATCATAGGGTTTTTTTGGCCAATTTCTTCAGAAAAGGGTTGCCTTTGCCTTCCCCTGAGGCTGAGAGAGTGTGACTTGTTGCCCAAAGTCATCCAGTGGGTTTCCATGGTCAAGCCAGGATTCGAACCCTGGTCTCCCAGGGTCTGAATCCAATGTTGTTGCTGTTGTGTATGCTTTCAAGTCATTCCCAACTTATGGTGACCCTCCTCAGGCATCCCTATCATGGGGTTTTCTGGGGCTGAGAGTGTGTGACTCTTCCAAGGCCACCCAGTGGGTTTCCATGGCCAAGAAAGAAACTGAACCCTGATTTCCAGAGTCATAGTCCAAAGCTCAGACCAGCACACCACACTGGCCCTCAAATAAAAATATAATAATAAATAAATATAATAAATATAACAACAATCACCCTAAACCATAGCAGTGTGATGTAATGGTTTGAGTGTTGGATAACAATTCTGGGGACCAGGGTTTGATTCCT